TCATCGTCGCCGTCGTCTAAAAGTGCAAAAAATTTGACAATTATTCTATCTAAAGAAAAGTTTACTAGAAAAAAATCCACGCGGACCAGGCAGCGGACGGGACTCGAACCTACATCCTTCGCTATCCGGGCGAATGCACTGACCATTATGCTACCACGGCTCTATTAGCCGCGTAGAAATTTTCCTAGCCTTAAGCTGCAAGGCAGCGCCATCTCTTCGCATTGTAGGTAACCCACAATGTTTCTAGTAAACTTTTCTTTAGATTTAAACATCTAGCAGTTAAATGCTTAAAAAAATAAATAAAATCAATTATTCTATCATTCGCCTCCACCATTCGACATGCAGCGAGTGGTCTCACCCATTCGTTGCACTCGGGCGATTCAAAAGTACGGAATTAATTATGTCGAATGAAATTTAGTAGAAATTGCGCGTTCGACGCAAGACGAGTGATTCAAAAATAGAGCTCCAGAACTCGCTTCGCAGGTTCGTTGCCTGTGACTTATTGAGCTGTTTTCCTTATCAGGACGCCCGGTACATACTTTTGTAATAAAGCGTATTCATTGTCGACCTTTTAGTATTAATGTTTTATACAATTTCCTAAATTATGTGGTGTGATAAAATTTTACAAAACAGATCCCTTCCTTTGTTGTGTAATATATAAATTTCAAGTTATTTCATTTTTAGATTTAATCTCCAGTGCCTATTGTTAATAGACTGTTTGAGTTGCTGTTATTTATACTTAGAATATTAATGCGTTACGAACGCTACGCATTATTTTTGTTTTAACCCTTAAAGTGATGAAATGGAGTTGATAAAGTTGCAAGTTGAACGCTATGAAACTGATGTGACGATTTATTCTACTTAGTGTCGGCGCACACGGGCCACACGCCACAGCCACAAACGCCGCCGCGAGAAGCTAGAAGCGGCTACTAAAATGGCTGAAGTGCGCGACAGCAGCCGACTAAGGCAAGGGAGAGAGGGGTGGGGAATCGCGCGAGTGACGTGTGGCGGCGTTTTGTATCGGCGCATTAAGAGGCCGGTGCGGGCCACAAGAAGCGAGCAACGACGATTTGTAGCGTGTGGCGGCCACCGGCGTTCCGTGTGTGGCGAGTCCATATAAAATGTATGAAAACTACAAGAAATATGCCGGTGGCGGCGTTTTGTGGTTGTGGTCGGTGGCCCGTGTGCGGCGACACTTAGATGAACGGGCACGGGTAGTTTTTTTTTGTAAACTTGAATTTATTCTCATATGGGTGTACAAACAGTCATGCAGTTCTTCTAACCATTTTTATGGAAAAGTGATAAAACTTTGTAGTATTTGTTTCTTAGGTTTACGTACATCACTCATTAAATAAAACTAGTTTTTACGGGTTAATGCACGAAACTTTATTTATTTATTGACGTTTCGTAGCCTTTACAGGCTACGTCGTCAGAATCAAGCTTTTATTTAATTTGTAACGAAGGTAGCTCGACAAATTTTCATGAAAAACAAACAAAAAGTTTCGTGCATTAACCAGTAAAAACTAGTTTTATTTAAAACTTTGTAGTGTTAGGTCACATGAGGTAAACATGCTTTATAGTCTAAACTTTTTAGGGACTAACTACAATACGATCAACAGACATAGAATTTACAAAACGAGCGAGTTTATGCGACGCGACGCGGCCCGTGAATTCGGGCGCATTCAATAATTTACTGCGTTCAAGTTATTTTGTGCAGTCGCTTACATCAACCACAAAATTAATAGACACAGAAGGCTTAACTCTGCTGATTTCGGCAGTAATTATAATTATCTACATTAGGTTACAGTGCTGCAGTGCGATTCTATAAGACCTTTGTTGGCGACTGGCTGTGGCTGCTAAACTCTTCAATCAATCAATCAATCAATCAATCAAATCATTTATTCGTTGTCATCGGTAACAATAAGTTTTTAAAATTTATATAAATGTGCCTTCATGACATGCTCAACAGCATACGAAAATTTGTTATCATTTTAAATTCAATAAAATCATAATCATCATAATAAAAGAATCAATACATTAATCTATACATCAATAAAAAAATAAAAAATAAAATTTAAATCGAAATGTCAGTATCCATTAAAAATTCATTTACATTATAATAACATTTATCCACTAAAAATTTCGTCAGTATTTTTTTAAATGTATTGGTATTATAATATTTAATGCTGTCAGGTAATTTATTATATAATTTTGGCGCCATTTCTACAACACTTTTCTTCATTAGCGCTGTTCTACACATATTTGTACAAACTTGAGGTTTCCGAGGGCGAAGGCCGAGCATATGAGTCTGTTCTCTTACTTTAAAAAGATCTGGATTACTTTTCACGAAAACGCAGCACTCAAATATATAGAGACATGGCAATGTCAACAACTTCAGGGACCTAAAATATGGTACACAACTATCTGAGGGCTTCAATCCACAGATAGATCTCACACATTGTTTTTGAGCTTTTAACAATATTTCTCTATAAGTTGTTAGTCCCCAGAATATAACACCGTATCGTAGAGTTGAAGCAACAAAGCCATGATACGCCGCAATAACAGTCTTTCTATCAGCTTGTTTTGACAATTTGTAAAGGGCATATGAAAATTTATATAGCTTTTTGCAAACCTCTATGGAATGTGATTCCCAAGACATATTGCTGTCTATATAGAGACCTAAGAATTTTACAATTTTAGTTTCATTTATTACTTTATAATTATAGCTAACGGTTAATTTAGGAGTAAGTTTCCGTTGGGTAAATTGCATTAAGTTTGTTTTATTTAAATTAATTTCTAAATTATTCATTTCAAGCCATTGGATTACATTTTGAAGATTAGTATTAACATTTTTTTCATAGTCTGCAATATTTTCACATTCCATAAAAATTGTACTGTCATCTGCAAATAGTATCATTGGATACTGACTAAACTTAACTATATCATTAATAAACGCTATAAAGAACAATGGTCCTAAATTACTGCCCTGCGGAACGCCACGTTTTACTATCTTACTGTTGGATTTATATGTTTTTTCTTGTCTAGTAGCCAGGCAAATTTGATCTATTTCTGTATATTGTACTCTATTGCTTAGGTAGGATTTTATTAAGTTTAGAGCATTTCCTCGAATGCCATAACGGTAAAGCTTATTTACCAATATGGCATGGTCAACAAGGTCAAAAGCTTTTGTCATGTCCATATAAATGGCGCATGATGGTGTACCTTTATCCAGACAATTAATTGATCTTTTCACTAAGTCGTAGATTGCTAAATTTATTGTTGTATTCTTACGAAATCCTTTTTGCTCTTGTACCAGAATATTGTGCTTTTCAAAAAATGTATACAGTTGACTATGAATTATTTTTTCGAGTATTTTAGAGAAGATTGGCAGCAATGCTATTGGACGATAGTTGTTGACATTTTCCTTTTCACCTTTTTTATAAATTGGCTTTATAATAGCTATCTTTAGATTTGAAGGGAATATACCTGTTAAAAAACATAAATTTATAATATGACATAATGGTTGCGCTATTATAGGTGCTACATACTTTACAACTTTAGTACAAACACCATCAAATCCAACACTATTTGTATTTTTCAATGACACAACAACTCTCAGAACCTCATCACTTGTGGTTGGTCTTAAAAACATGGTCTTGCTATTGTTATTTATGTGAGTTAAGCAGTTTCTTTGATTATAATTATTGTTTCTATTATTAACAAAATTAGAATTATTATTAATTATCACATTTGAATTACTATCTGAATTATCATGTATGTCACCATTATTTATAAAAAAGTCATTAAAAGTATTTGTAATGTCAAAAGGTTCAATGATACATTTATTGTCTACCTTTAAACAGTGAATAGGTTCTTTAGGCATACAGGTCTTAGATTTATTTATAATTGACCACGTCGCTTGGGATTTGTTTTTTGACTCCCTTATGAAATTATCATTTTGTGCGCGTTGAGTAAGTTTAATTATTTTATTTAGTTTTTTATTGTAAACTTTAAATGCGGATAGATTTTTTATGTTTTTATTGTTTCTATAATTCCAAAGAAATTCTCTTTTCTTTTTACAGCAAACTCTAAGTCCCCGTGTCATCCATTTCGGTTTTGTTTGTATCGACTTTTTTATTACTTTATAAGGAAAACATAGGTCATATAGGCATTTGAACATGTCAAAGAAACTGTCATAAGCCATGTCGGGCTCAGTGGAGACATAAGTGTCATGAAAAGACAAACTATTAACATATTTTTTAAATTTTTGAAGATTTTCTTGACAGTAGTCTCTTCGTTTAATGGTCCAAGAATTTAGTACACACGTTTTTTTTACTGGACATTTCAGAAATTGTGCTGTATGATCCGAAAGTGCTAGCTCAATGACCTCGCCCCTGGCCCCTCTCCAGTTATGAGCAAAATTGTCTAGGCACGTTCCACTTACTACTCTTGTTGGTTCCTTTATCGCTAGTTTTAAGTTAAAAGATAATAATTTGTTGTTAAATTCTCGGCTGGCTGGAGTATTTTGTAAGACATCTATATTAAAATCGCCGCACAAGACAATTTTTCTATTTTTGAAATCTATTACACTACTTAGTATATTTTCGAGAGTAGCATAGAACGCGTCCAGACTTGATATACTGTTATTTGGTACTCGGTATAGGCATATTATGATCATATTATGGTCACAAAGCTCTATAGCGCATGCTTCTATTACACATTTAATGGAAAGTTTCTTAATATAATCAATTACTCTGAATTTAAGACCAGATCTAACTAAAATGCATGATCCACCCCGCTTTTTGTCTCTTGAAAAGGTGGTCGCCAATGTATAGTTTGGTATTGTCAGAAATTCCTCCAAATCTGGTATCATATTGTGTTCTGTCACACATAGAACATCAATAGCCTTCTCTTGTCTTCTTAGCTCGTGCAAATGTATTATCAGTTCGTCACTTTTCCGTAGTAGACCAGATATATTTTGATGCAAAAGGTGTAAATAATTATAGAAGAAAAAATGGTTTTTGATGAGATTTATTACTTTTGTCCCCCTCATTAACGTCGAAATTAGCATCTTCATTCTCACTCTGGTTTATTATATTTTTAACAACATTTTGAAGGAGGTTTTGAATTCCTCTATGATTTATCTTGCCAGAGAATTGTGAAAACATATTCATTGTCAATTCACGGTTTGAATCAATTAAGCAACCATATTCATTTATATTTATATCATCGTAAAGAAGGTTATTAAAGGTCTCCACTCTATGATTATACAGGGGCCTTCCACATATGTATGTTGGTGCAGTCAATATTATATTTGTATTCTTTATTTGTTGCAGTTTAGTTTTTATGGTTTTTACTAGGCTTTTATAATTATGTGCAGTTTCGAAATCTCGCTGACCAATCATAATTACACAAAAGTCTTTTTTTGTGAATTCTTTTAGTTTTTCTTCTATGTTTTCTAAAATAATGTTTATTCCAGAATTAGTAGTAAGAAAATGGCATATCTGAAATTGACTCAAATAATCGATTCTCTGTACATTTTGTAGTATTTTTAATCCTTTTTCGCTCGAAAGTATACATAATTTATTTTTTATCTCATTGTTATTATTCTCATTTACATTCCTATTTATCTTGACAGTTTCGGATTTTGTCAACGTTATTTTTGTAGCTTGAAGGTTACCCTCTAAACGAGCTACTAACATATGAAGTTGTGCCACTTCTTCTTGAGCTGCTTTTAGGTCATTTTGTAACTTCGATATTGTGTTTTCTAAAATAATAGTTTGCTTTGAATTTTTCGGAGATGGACTAGTATTAACAAGACTAGTGGACACGTGTCTACGATGATTTCTATTTGGTGTTTTACATATGTTTTTCAGTAGAAGAATCTCCTGGGTAAGTCTTTCAACATGTCGCCTAAGTTCGTTATTTTCGAGAATAGTATTTTCCAATTCAGTTTCACTAATCTGAAGTTGCGTTTTTAACTCTTCTATTTTCAGTTTTTGATTGCTTACAATGTCAAGATCACTGGTTAGCTCCATACTCCTTGACAACTCATCTAATGGTTGAAAACTATTGTTTTCATCGTCGACAAGTAATTCCATTGATAATGATTTTATACATAAACTTGGAGTTATCAGCTTTTCTTGTTGATCGGTCTCCTTCAAAGGCGTAGAATTTGGTGTTAATACAGTTGATGCCCGGCCAGTATCAGTGTTTGCAGAGTCTTCTGTAGGGTCTGGAGACGTATATTCATTTGAAATATTCAAGTCATAGTTATTGATTATCTCATTTCTCTTCGGATGTGTATTATTACTAGTTTTACGCATAATTGATTTTTTATTAGAGGCATTCATATATTGGCTAGTGCTTTTTGTGTCTGACTGTTTTTTCACCGTGCATCTGTTACATCTCCATGATTTTTTATTTTCATTTGTCCATATCCTAAAACGTGCAAAGCTGACGTTCGCACAATTAATGTGATAGTTGTTATCACACAATGAACATACTGTAAATCGTCGATTTTCTATTATCATTCTGCACTTAAAGCATTGTCTTATTGGGGTTGGCTGTTGCGCCATTTCAATTTTATCTTATTGAAATTAAACTTTTATTCGAATTATTATATTCAAAATAAGTAAATCTTCAAAATGAGATAATTTTATAGTCAAAAAAATTTATATATATGAAAAAAAGAGAAAATTGTAATCAGCGCCTCCAAGGCTCGAACTCGTGCCCCTTTGAAATTTAAAAAGGCTACTTAACCACTGCTCCGTTTACACTTAAAACAGTTCGGTGAATATAGTGGATACTAAACACAGAACAAAAGAAAACAGTGAAGTGTCCAGTCAGAATCTTTCTCAATGACAAGATACCCACTTCACAATAATTATGTTCACTATACCGTCCTTATGTAAAATGTTAAAGATATTCACTCCTTTTTACTAGTTCAAAGTTATTATTTTACACTTTTATTTAATTTGATTAAGTTCCAGTGACACATCATCAACAGAATCAATACAGTTCACTTCCACGATATTATTTTTATTTATTTGGATGGTTTACTCTTTTGACGTGAGTTATCTTTTATATATTATTTACTCTTTCGTATACTGAGATAACACTAGACCGCATTAGTTATAGCATTATACACCACTATTTTATCCAACTATTGTTATAAATGAACTTTTGCTATTTATTTTAAGCTTAGTTTGTGCAGAGCTACAGGGCGTCCCACGGCTACCTCAACCGTCAATCTCTTTTGATACTATTCTGTATTTTTTAAATCCTTTATACTTTTGTACGTCACTTTTTGACACCATTCTTTGTTTTTATACCTACATCGTTATTATTATCTTGTCATTACTGCTTACGAAATATTGTGAACTCGGATTATATTTTATTTTACTGCTACGTGTCGTTTCCACCGCTACACAAAACCTTATTTTAAACATCGAAGTTTAATCCGCCGCGAGTTGCTTGATTGGCATTCTAAAAACTCGGTTGACAATGCGAATTTACACTAAATAATTTCACCGCCACGCTTTCAGGCGTTGTAACTAAATTGTCCGCGAGATTTGTATGAGATGTTTTAAGAAGTGGCATTCCGTAAAATGATTCCCCGAACACTTCCGACGATCACTTCACAGTCGAACCCGAATTCAAGCGTTAGATAATTATTTACTTCTTCTTCCTTTTTAATGGCTTAGCTTTTCGTAGAATTCTGTCAATTTTACATAGATAGCTCCTACTAGACGACAGGGATTCTTATTGCTTGTGAATTTTCATGTGATGTTTTAATAAGTATTTTAGATTTTTGTCACTTCCTATCTTGGTTTAACAAACCTAAAACTAAACACAACACATTTTATGGCATGCACGACACAACACTAATCAACACAATACGAGGTTGTTGACGAAAATGTTGACTAGTTATCGTTTTAGTTTAGCTTGTTACATAATATAAATTTCAGCTTCATGGAATGTCATGTGAAAGACATTTTACAAGAAGTACTCAACGAAGTTTGGGGCAATCAAATAGAATGTGTTCAGCGAATCCTTCAATATTTATTGTTACAAAATTACGCTCTGTGACCAATAAATTATCCACTTTCTAGTTTTGTCGCTTTCCCCTTCAAAGCTAAAGTAAAATGTGAAAGCGCCAATCCCTATTTTCAATTATGAAAGAAGAGGGAAATTGCGAAAATTTAAAAAGTTACACAATAAGGCGTCTGCTTAATACAGGTATTATGCACTATTGCCTTTCTTTTCAGTGTAAACAAGATTCCCGAAAACTTTACATCCATGTGGGCATGCACCTGTTTTCCTTTGCCGTACAAAGCTGGCCTTCTATGCCTTTTTATTTTGTGCTGCCAAATTGCATAATACACAGCAACGTTGCAATACACTACTACGTTGCAAATGTACTACCTCTACACAGCGCTACTGTACCGCAGCTCACTAAAAGTACCTACGTTTATGAATTTAGGAAAAGCTGGAAGGCGTATTGTTTAAGTTCAATGATTTTTCACTAATTCATTATACGCTTCTGTGAGTTCGATATTTCTGCATCGTCTTCATTATATCAAAAACAATGTTTAATTTATTCCTTTCATTTCTGTATTTTTTTTATATAGAGGTAGGCAAATGACTCTACCCCACCTGATGTTAAGTGGTAATAAAGTCCAAACGCGAAGATAGCTGGTACAGCAGTTATAAACTGCTACACCAATCATCCTCACCTTGCCGGTCTGCAAAAATGCTTCTTCACGCCTCTCTTAAAGGACCTCAGATTATAGGAAGGAGGGAACACTTGCGCGGGTAAATAATTCCATTTACGAATAGTATGACAAATAAATGAGTCACCAAATTCCTTGTTCGTGTAGGAAAAGTGGCCACAGTGTGTTTTTCCAATATGTAATTTTATTAGCATTTGCAGTAGGCGACAAAGCTAGACAGCCAAACAAATTTAACACAGGATTGTTTAATGAAAAGGAGGACTGTAGGATACGGTTAAAATCAATAAATATTTTTCTATTGGCTGTCCGATCTCTGATTAAGTGTCGTAGCCACCTAAGTATAGGTTTGGTTTCATTAATAATGGGCTCTGGCACTGGATCTAACCTTAAGTATGTATGTATTATTGTGTACCGTACAATGAAATGCGAGCTTGACCCTGCTCATTAATCACACGGGGACAAAACGCGAGTAAAGCCCGATTTGTATGAGCGAGAGATAACATTTCAACCCACCGTTCGTGATTATTAGCTACCAACATTCCTAATGGAAGAACACATTTTACGGTAACTGCACTCGTATCTTTAAGCGCTTTGTAGACGGCGGGGCCGAGCGGGCCGGTCAATTTCGCCGTGGACGATAGCACAAAGTGAATCCTATACTACAAACGCATACAGAGGGCAAAAAGACCAAGAGGCATGTCCGCGGCTGCCCGCCGTGGATAATACAAAGCAGTTTATATGCAGTAACGCAGACGGCGGCGCGGGGCGGCTAGCTCACTCCGCGCCACGCGCTTTTTGGTGATGGACTATTCACTAGAACGAACGTCCTGAACTGACTGCCTCTGCCCGTCGTGTGCTTTGTGTACGCGGCGAGGGCAGTCGCAGACATCGACGGGCAGACGCTTTTTTTATTGCTTCGCGGACAAAAATCCCGCCCCGCCCCGTCGTCTGCAAAGAGCCTTAAAGGATTTCGTTTTGTAACATTTTTCTCTCTCTTTATATTAACTGTTCATCCAGGCCTTCAAATATTGAAGAAACATTTTTTTTCTTCGCTTTGTGACCCATCTTCTTGTTTTTTATTAAAAGCTTTACCTTGCAATGTATGTATGTTATAATTTTATTTTTTTAAGCATGGAACTGCTTGATGTTTAAATCTAAAGAAAATATAACTAGAAAAAAATCGGGACTTGAACCCGCACTCTTCGCTGTCGGGGCGAATACACTGACCAATTATGCTACCGCGGCCTTGATAAAAAAATAAAAAATATAACTATAATTGCTATTTCTTCTTTCAAATGTTTAATGCTTGTAAAAGTATTTATTTGACATTGTGGGTTACCTATAATGCGAAGAGATGGCGCTGCCTTGCAGCTTAAGAATGGCTAGAAGAATTTCGATGCGGCCATCAGGGCCGCGGTAGCATAATTGGTCAGTGCATTCGCCCGGATAGCGAAGGGTGCTGGTTCGAGTCCCGTCCGCTGCCTGGCCCGTGGAATTTTTTCTAGTTATATTTTCTTTATGTTTGTTTTGTTCGGGTGAAATCTTCCAACTAAATTTTGAAGCAGATATCTTCATTGGATTGAGCTGAAAATTTTTGATGCACTCTTACAATATTGGTATCAAATGAAAGGGCTTGCTGAGAATAACTCGAAAATTAAAGTGACGTCACCTTAAATCCAATATGGCCGACTTAAACAGTTCGCGGACTAAGTTTTTTATGTTTTCCTACAATATGGGTATCAAAGAAAAGGGCTTGCTGAGAATAACTCGAAAATTAAAGTGACTTTACCTTAAATTATAATATGGCGGATTCAAAAACTTGGCAGACTAAGTTTTTTATGCTTTCCTACAATACTGTTATCAAATGAAAGGACTTTATGAGAATAACTCGAGAAGTAAAGTGACCGCCACCTTAAATCCAATATCGCGGATTTTAAAAGATGGCGGCTTTAGTTTTTTATGTTTTCCTACAATATGGGTATGAAATTAAAAGACTAGCTGGGAATATGGGGTTCTTTAAGTTCTCGATTATGTCCATCGATAACTTAAAAGTAAAAAAAAAGAAAAAAAAGAAAAAGCTAAAAAGAGTTTTAAAAAATCTAAAGAAAAGCTTACTAGAAAAAAAACCACGCGGACCAGGCAGCGGACGGGACTCGAACCCCACCCTTCACAATCCGGGCGAATGCACTGACCATTATGCTACCACGGCCCTATTGGCCGCGTCGAAATTTTCCTAGCCTTAAGCATCAAGGCAGCGCCACCTCTTCGCATTGTAGGTAACCCACAATGTCAAATGAATACTTTTTCAAGTATTAAACATTTGAAAGAAGAAATAGTAATTAAAGTTATGTTTTTATTTCTTTTTAAGCATTTAACTGCTAGATGTTTAAATCTAAAGAAAAGTTTGCCCGGATTGCGAAGGGTGCGGGTTCGAGTCCCGTCCGCTGCTTGGTCCGCGTGGATTCTTTTTTCTAGTAAACTTTTCTTTAGATTTAAACATCTAGCAGTTAAATGCTTAAAAATAAATAAAAACATAACTATAATTTTTATTATTTTTAAAGCATGTAACTGCTTGATGTTTAAATCTAAAGAAAATATAACTAGAAAAAATTCCACGCGGACCAGGCAGCAGACGGGACTCGAACCCGCACCCTTCGCAATCCGGGCGAATGCACTGACCAATTATGCTACCGCGGCCAGTGCATTCGCCCGGATTGCGAAGGGTGCGGGTTCGAGTCCCGTCTGCTGCCTGGTCCGCGTGGAATTTTTTCTAGTTATATTTTCTTTAGATTTAAAAACATAACTTTAAAATATCTCTTAAAATTTTTACTCATTACGCAATT